TATGGGAACAGAACTCTTCAACAATAAGACGGAACACCGAGGCACCAACTGAAAACTAAAATAATAAGGGTGTAGGGATATTCAACTAGCATTAACCAATCAATAAAGGGCATATAAGAACACTGATCAACAATAAGGAAACTGAGAATCAGTAATTGTAGCAAGTTTTTTTTTTTGAAAATTTGTTTTGAAAACACTATTCTTACATCTTTTACCAATCAGATTTCAGAATGTGTTTTACTAAAAACATGAAGAAATTTATAACCAATTCTGGAATTGGTGAAGAGAATTTACAGTGACAAACGTTTTATCATTTCTGCTACCATGCACATTTATTTATTATAAAACAATCAGACTTTCTAAACTAATCAAAGCAAAATGGATTAAAATTAATTGGCTTCTACTTGGGGAATCTACAATACTAATAATAAAAACAAAATTCAATTCAATTACACATAATTATAATCAGAATGAAACTGATGTCATTGACACAATATGCTTTGGGATCTTATTTGGACCAACAATGACTTCTGAAGGACATTCTTCGTCAGTGTTCGTCCAAAGCAGTCAATATAGTTTTCAGATTGTATTCTTGCCTTATTCCTCAAGTGAAAGTCATATACACTGAATCAGAACCAAACAGCCATTGAATGAAAGTAGCGTAAATTGTTACATTTAACCATAAAAAATTCTAAGATGAAGTGACTTCAGATTCACATGCATAATTATGATTGAAAACAGGGGTGAATAAACTATTTTAATTGTTTTTATGTAGGATTAACTATCTTCGCCGTTCAAATATCAAGCTTGTAGTTACTTTTGTCTGATTTGTTCCCATATTCTTAGTCGCATGTTCCTATTACTGCTACAAATCATGAAAAAATTTGATGACTTTTATAATTCTAAAAGAGTTGTCAAAACATATCAGTGACAAATGTAAACAAACTATAACAAAATGTTTATTACATACTTTATTATATACTTGAAGTATTAAAAACCAGAATAATTTTTTACATATGTAACTTTTATCTTCCTCGCAATGTTACAATATAACAATTAGCAGGAATATCAGAAAATTGAAATTATTTAGGATAATAAGGGGCACAAAACAATTGGTACTGCTCATTATGTCAAGAAGATATTGAAATATAATATACACGTATGTAAAGTATAAAATGATTTGTGTTATATCTCAACAGCTATTACAAGAGACTAAAGACTGTAATGTAAATACAGTTTTTCAGTTACTGTTTTATTCTACTTCATATTCAATGACAATATATATTTTATTATTTTTGGCCCCTCCAGTATCTGTCAATTTCTGTTATTGTAAACATAAAAAGCATGGAGACTACAAGCAAAGTATGGCGAAAGTAGCTAAATCCAGAAATGTCTCAGGATATTTACACTTCATTATTTTCATCATAGAGTTTTCTTAGATGTTTCATGCTATTTTCTTCACTAAAATACACTGAATCATGTAAATATATATTTTTCAACCAGGAAACATGTAAAAAATCATGTTGTACCCATAATTTTGTGTTTATTATTATGTTGAAGTCCCAAAGAGAGCAACATAAGTCAAGAATACATTTAAAAAATATTAAAATATATGTATAGATTACATTATGGTTTACTGGTAGAGTTTTGTGAACACAGTAAAGAATTTCGTATGTGAGAAATTTCTTGAATAGCTGGGCCACTGTTAGCTTCACAAGAAGGGATCTGCTACATGGATTTGGTTTCAGTCTACTGAGTGACATTCAGACTTGAAGACTGCAGCTGATGATAACAGTTTCTTTGAGATGACAATTGCTGCACACAGAACTCAGAGTCGCAAAATGCCAATGAAGAAGTAACTTTAAGTTACTTCTGCAATGTGTTTCGAAGTGTTTATTATTATCAGGGGTTTTGTTTTGGAAATTGTTCACGGTAAAGTAATAGGAATATTTTGAAAAATGTACACTATGCATTTTCATCAGTATGAAGAAATTCACTCTGACTAGTACTATAGTATCTAAAAAGTAAATATTCAGTCAGTTATGATAAATATAGTGACTATTAGATTAGTAGTGGATAAATATTTATGTCATTGGCCTACATTTAAATTTAATGGTATATGAAATTAATATTCCTGTCACTCTCTTCCCATACTTTTGAAGAATTGGCTGAATTATTACAGACTCAAATACCCACTCTTCATGGAAAATCTCAAGTCAGATTTGTCAGTTGGAATGATTCAAAACTAGGCATTTTCTGAATGTTACCTCTGTAATTACATTGTATTAATCTGTTACAAAATATGTATACTAGAATAAATGTATTAATTTGAAATGTTTTGTGTCATATTGGCAAAAAAATGTAAGGATTTCAGGTTTATTTAGTGTATTCTGAATGATTTAATATTATATGAGACATATAAGAATAAAAAATTATTTTATCAAAATTAATATAAATAACTGTATGTGCAAAATGAATGGAATACAGTCTTTTGGGACATAAAAATCTGTAGCTTGGCATACAATATCAATGTTTTGGAGGAATCTGTTACTTTCATCTTCAGAGTTGTTGTACACTGAAGATAGAAGCAGCAGATTCCTCTGAAGTATTGGCATCTTGAGAGCTCTTAATTCTGTCAACTACTGCCATGAGATTTTCATATCTTAAATTGAATATAATGTGAAGTTTAACAAGGATGTGAATAATTCTGAAGAAAAAAAAGATTTATTAAAACTAATACAAAATTCTTCAATAAGATGATCATCAGTTTATTTAAAAAAATGAACTGAAAATCTTAGAGCTAAGCATGAAATAATATTTTTAAGCATAGTAGTACATTTTGCAAAAATTACTGCTGGAAAGAACAGTAGCCATTTGCCTTGCAAGTTATAAGGCAAAGCTGTTGTGTACATTGAAACCGTCATTTTAGGTTTAGCTAATAAACAGCATAAACACACATAAATTAATGGCTCTATTCTTAAATTATGCTTAACTCCTTCTACAATTTAGAGTACTTAGTAGCATAATTTCTGATATTTTAAGTATGAAATGCCAAGTGAATTACATTTAAGTCTCGTACCATAAGTGGTCATACCAATTAAGCTGGTGAAATCTAAGCTGGACGCCACCAAAGTAATTTTGTGAACGTGTTATACTGTGGAAAAAATTTCATTAAAATTTTTACTTCTGAAATCTACTTCAGTAACTATTTGGGTAGACTAGGATAATATCAATGAGAAATATGCATGAGGTACATTTCTACAATGCAGAAACAACACAAAACTTTACATATTAATTTCTTTTGAAAATAATATATAAATTATCTTGACCATTTGTATTGCTAATTAATAAAATATTATATCTTTCTATAGAATGAACTTTTTAACCATTTAGAAACTGTAATGGTTCAGATTTCAAAATGCATGTCTATCCAAATGCAAGATAAAATTGTTACAGATATTAAAACCATTCGGGTACCAGAAGAAGTAATTAAAATATCAAATTTCCATTCTCATTCTAAGATTTGAAGGTTAATATATCGATAATAAATGTTTATATTTGGGAGATATCTTTTTTGGATCTACACCAGAATATGTGCTATCTTGATTGATGACTCGCCAGGATAATGCTAGGATAGTACCTTCCAACATACCATGAGTACTCTCTTAAAAATCATCATCCATTGACCATTCGTAATTATCTTGTACAGTATTCGACGATGCATAGCCTATATTTTGTAAAGGGGCGTTAAAATTATTTAGGTACATATCATCTTTTTTATATAATTCATTATTTTATACAAAAATGAATAGGCAATGCTCATCAGGCCGTCTGCACATTCTTATAAACATCTTAGTCAATGACAGCGTCCGACCCGCGAATTTTTAATATATCTTTTATCTTTTTTTATTTCTAGTAGGGTGGGACTAAGTCCCTTGTACTGCGGCCACTTCTGGCCTATTGTACCAGGCTCAGATGAAAGGTGAAGGTGATTGTGGATCAATTGGTTGAATGAAGATTGGCAGGGGAAACCGAAGTACTCGGAGAAAACCTGCCCCAGCGCCACTTTATCCACCACAAATCCCACTTGACCAGACACGGGATCGAACCCGGGCCGCCGCGGTGGAAAGCCAGCGACTAACCGCTTCAGCTATGGCGCGGCCCTATCTTTTAACTTAACTCTAAGCGTATACTATTACTATTTTGCACATTTACTTTTGATTTTTTTAAAATAAATTCAGGAACTTTGTTTATGAAGTAAAAGAGTCCTTGCCTATTTTTTTATCTCTAACCTTAAAATCTCCGTAACTGACTTAGGGTATTCTTTTTTGCTGTTCTCAGACAAAATGTCCATCATTGTTGCCCGTTGATCCTCTTACAGTTTACAGTCCCAGAAGATATGTTCCTCCGTTTGCAGCCCCTCACCACATTCGCATTCAGCCATGGACACAATGTTAAATCTACGTACTTAAGCTTGCTTTCAGATTGGAGTGGCCTGCTCTCATATGGTTTATTGACACGAAGGTACGCCGGTTCACTTTTATCTGGCGGGACCACGGAGAGAAGCCATTATTTTAGTACCTTCCAAAATAGCGTTCTCTTTTGTCCCTGTAATTTAATTTTTTGTTTTTAAAAAATAAATGTATATATAAAAAGGCATAAGCAATGCCTATCCGGTCCCTGTAATTTCAGTAATTTCCGTTTCGCTATGGAGCTATCTATGGAGAACTGTTAGAAATAACTGCATAACATATACTTTAATTCATGAAGAATTTAGTGTCATACTACGAAACTATGCAGGTCACAAAACTGGATAGATTTATTGCAACATACAGAGTTGACCTATATTCTGAAGGCACTGCAGAATCAAAAGGAATGTAAACGTGAAAATGAATTAGCTACTGCTTCTTACTTCGTTGTTTCTGCATTGTGTCAAGTATTTATCTTGGAAGGACACATGTATTTATACAGTATCTGAGTTTACATGAGTCAAGGCTTACCTTTCGCATTGCCTCAACGTCCAGCTGGCAATGATCCACAGTGAAACCATAAAAACCAGCAACACAGTACCAGGACAAATGGTCATGAGCGTCTTGAGCACGAATCGTGTATTAAAGTTGATACGATTCAGAGCACCGATACTCCGGGAAGAAGCGTCAGTAAATAGTTTACTGTGAAGTAACATAACCCTGCAGATGAGGTAGAGGCGGAGAAACATTGGCAGGGAAAGCGTTACATCGTATGGAACCAATTTGGAGCCCATTTCGCCGCCCTTGTTGGCCAGCTTCGTGGTCCACTCGAAGTAGTACTGGCCCGGAATGGGATGTACTGCGCAGATACCCAGCTCCAGACAGATCTGGGAGATCCTCTGCCACGTCATAGCGATCCGCCAGTCGTCCGCACAGTTGTCGATCATGAACAGCTGTAACAAACACAGGATTCATGTCCGTCAGTGTACATAACATCTGATTGCAAGATGGACGTAGATATGAGAATGTGACGGTGCTAAATTAAGCCAAACGATTTAGGATAAAATGAATTTAAAAGAGTTACATAGAGATGACGACATGTCGGTTCTTACAGCAAAGTAAATTTGTCCATGTGTTTAATTAATTAAGAAGTGCCATGAAGATATACGGGGGAGTGGAAATATGGCTCCACCATTCTTGACCTCGACACTAGATAGAGGGGAGTGACTGGCTTCACGCCTAAGCCACTTTACCTTCAGGGAACTCACCCCCAGTACTTCTTGGATGGAAAGGTTGTGGGGATGACCAGTATAAAAGGAGCGAATGAAGAAAAAAAAAGAATAAACATGAGGGTCAAACTAAAACACTAAAGAACAAAGAGAATAGAAGGAAGCTAGGACAGAGAGAAAGGAACAGTTTAGCTAGCACCGGATAAAGTAAATTTATGAGATTGTGTTTAGAGGATGATGAACCATAGTTTCACACATTTAAGTTGTCATTCGGGTTTTGAAAACTGCATTCTCGTAGAAGTTGACTAGTAATTGGGAGGAACCGATTACCTCCACATTCACTTCTACCCTGATGAAGGAAGCAGAAAGTTCTTCCAAAAGGCTAGTCACCTATAAAAATATACGTTGTCATATGCCAGAAGATTATAATATAAATTTGCATCGCTTTGAAAACCTTAAAATTACAGTTTTGAAACCTAAATAATATACGGCAGCCTAATATGATACCGTTGTAATTATTATATCAGGGTTCGGAAACTCTTGTTTTCTTCTAGCAATACTGCAACGGCTTACCAGGACGCTTTACGTGTTTCACTGCTCTTTGGTGGTATATTCACGAGTGAGGGACTCCAGAAATTTAACGCCTACAGAATACTGTTTATACTGCATGGTACACAGCAGTGTCGGAGAAGTTGCCGCGGCAGCACGGCGACTTCAATATCAGGAGGAGGTGGAGCTGCGCAGATTGTAAAGAAGTATTCAAAGAAGTACTACGTTTAACAGTAATGGACACTATAGCATATTCGCACAAAACAAGAATTGTGGAGTCACACCTGCCCGCCGTTAATAGGCAGCGGCCCGTATACAACAGAGGAATGGTGTTTTCTGCGCAGTCCATGCCGATGGATGCACATGCAAAAATGGAAAACGTCATGCCATCGCTAAGCAACTGCAACAGAGGATCACTGTTTTCTACGCGGTCCTTGCCAAGATGTTATCAACAGGACAAGTTGGCAGTCAGACAATTGCTGCGGTTCAGTCCATGTCAGTTGTTGCTGTTGGAAGCTGATAGCTGAGGCCAAGGACAGTTCGGGAACCCTGAGGAAAGGGAATGTCCGCCGTTGGAAGCCGATACTAAGCAACGGCAGTGACGACGTCACTGTGGACACTAGTGTGTATGTAATAGTGAAATGTAAATCGTAGTCACGCACTGATCAAAAAGTCAAATAAATCCTATCTTCACTCCAAAACCCCTCTATAGCCACACTCCGTACACGAGCCAATATAATAAAAAATAGTAATAATAGTCCAGTTTCTTTATTTGAGTACTTGAGAACGAGCATCCACATGTAGGCAAAGGTAAAAGTTCTTGTGCTTAATTAATAGAAGACCACATTATGAAGGCGTAAGGGGAGTGGAGGCATAGCTCTATGTATTCACAGCTTCCTCACTAGATCTAGGTGCATTCAGCTTCGGACTCTGACACGTTAACCCCGGAAACAGTCATATAGCCCATTGGATAGCATGTTGGTTGGCCCCCACAGAACCAGTATGGACACTACGTAAATCGACGAAATCCTCGGTCGCCCAGCCCATTCCATAATCGCTACATTACCCTAAAAGGACGTTTGAAACAACGAGAGTTTTCATTCGAAATTCCATGGAAATTGTAAACTGAAAACATAACTTTTGTAACCACACTTCGTATCGTAGGAACGTGATCATCAAATGATGCATTCCTATTCTACGACTTTTAACTCGTATATCAAAGGGTTAGGGTCTCTCACAGTCCACATACTGCCCCAGGTCATGGCGATCTCACCCCAACTGTCTGCCACCCTTATGAAGGTTTCCGTCTAGCAGGGATGAAGCTGAATGGGGTAGGAGAGATAACTCGCACAATCTGGCTGCTTGTAACCGAGGGGGGGGGGGAGAATGTATATCTCGAGTTGGCAAGCTTCCCGGTAATTAAGCGACGATGCCAGATCCAGTCCGCTTCAAGCCAACACCCCCCCTCCACTTAAAACCATCACTTTAACCTTCAATATATATTTTTAGTGGAATTATTATAGAAGGCGACGTATTTTATATTACATATTGTGACATGACGCCTGAAAGCCAGAGTAGACGTTAATTACTAGACAACGACTCGGTAAGCATGTTCCCGCGGCAACGAATTAGCAAGCAACAATCGAATTATTGTTGGACTATAACGATGGAAACGGTGTTTTCTGTTGGGTCTGCTCCGAGGATGTATAATGAGGATCCAAGATCAGCTGAGATAGATGGACTTACTAATACGGACTATTACTAACGAAGGACAGATCCGACCTCTCGTCAGAGAGGGCGCCCTAAATGGACAAGACGACTTTGACTTGACTTGAGCTGAGATAGAATTGAAGGAGTCTCTACAGATTACAGTCAAAGAAGATTGAGAAGAGATAACAAGAAAGGAATTAGGTTGTGAAAAGAAGACTTCATCTGTGCTGCAATCACAGGGAGACTATCATACTCCCTTTGTTGAAATCCGTTGCCAGGATACGACTAGTAAAGACTGAGAACCCTAGTGTGTGTGTAAGGGTGAACTGTAAAGTGCGTATATCAGATATAGCTCTGTTTTACTTGTAGTTTCGAGTTGAATATGTACATGAAATAAATCCAATTAGCCAATCCAAACCCCGTATATCAGTCACACGTGAAAATATAAATCGTTTAAAGAACCATTTTAACTTCGATTAATGGTGCACGAACGTACTATTACGGTAGGATACAATATTTCTTAACCCTTCTTCCGAAACTAAGATATTTCCGGAACTCAATGAACTTGAGCAGAAGAAAGTCATCCTCTCTAGAGATTAAGGAAATATAATCACCCAATATGGGCCAAAAATAGGCAGATAATATTTTAGTTTTACACCAGCGACTCACACAAACAATAAAGCATTTCTGTTTATCGGTTTAGTTTTCTTATTTTACGAAAAACAAATACATCTTGAGTACTCGAATAATTTCATTTGGTAATTGTTTATATAACGACGCTGCCAGTAGCGTAACATGATAGGATGATTAATGATTGGGAAAGAATATGGAGGAAGAATTTCATATACTATCCAGACTGAGATACTGAGGAAACACACGAAAGAATCTAGGGTCAGGAAAGCTGATGTCCCGAAGATATGAACCAGTTTGTTTCATGATTTATTTAACGACAATATCTACACTGCACAGTTGATATAACGAGGTTTGGATATAAGAGACAAAGTGCGGCTGTGTTCAATAGTGAATTTTTAGAGATGCTGAGATACGAAGAAGGTTCTGTACTTAGAACACTATTTAGAATAAAAAGAACAAAAATATAAAGTAAAAACTTTCGTTTAATTATATCGAGTGTTTCGATGTTTATTGCATGTATTGGCTATGTATTCTATGGTGCACTTGGGTGAATATCCTTTCACTCGGTTATAGGAGACATCGGAAATAACGGACACCATGTCCGTCTGTTTCTTTCTTTCTCTTCGCTCATTTGTTTGGAGCATATGGCTAATTTCTCAGTTTCATTGATCGTTTTTACAGACGGCAGGACTCCTTGGACGGGTGATCAGCTCGTCGCAAGGCCTCTACCTACACAGAGAAAAGCATTGACATAATAAACGCATACACATACCAAACATCCATGCCTTGAGTGGGACTCGAAACCACGATCCCAGTGTTCTAGCGGAAGAAGACATTTCATGCCTCAGACCTCGCGGTTACTCTACAACATCTGAAGAGGAAAATAACATTTGTCCCTGTTCTTAATTAATTAAACATCTTGCCTTGACCTTGACCTTGTGAAGTAGAGGTACAGTTCTACTATTCTTGACCTCGGCAATAGAGGGAGATGAGTGGTAACCTTCACTCTCCGGTCCATTTAACTCGAGGCAATAGTCTCGGATATCCATTGCATAGGAAGTTGGACGGGCTCTAGAGTCGGTCCGGACGTTATGGAGAAAAGTTACTTGCCCCTATCGGAAAGCGAACCCCGGTAGTCCAGCCCGTAGCCCATCTCTATACAGGAAAAACGCTGTTAATTAACTTAATACCCAATATTTAAACGAATAGCATAAGTGATGACGCATTTCTTCCTGACTAATCATTCATAATCATAATTTATAGCCGAGTCATATATTAGACGTAGTGTCTTTCAATAAACTGAAGAGAATAATGGGTACTGTAGAGGCTGCTAAGGTCTGGGACTCAGACGAAGAAGATGAGAGGACCCCGAGAGCAGAGGAATGTGTGGTGAGCTAATGAGACACCTCGAGAACTTCCAACACCAAGCCTTATTTTACTAAGAATTTAATTTCGTGCTTTGGGTTTAATATCCCCGCCAATTATACAACGGATGATCCGAATTCCGAAATGTAATTACAAAAGGTAAATTTACCTCTGTACATAGGCACAGAACCATGTAGACGTATAGGAGAAATGGAGGTCAAACTCTACGCTTACACGCCCTAATCACTGCATGGGAGGAAGAGCAATTAATTTAGTGTCTAGTCGCTCTAACCTTAGATGAAAGTCGTCGGTATTTACTGATTGAATCCCCAGAGATACTGAGTATGAAATCCTTGTTGTATAATTAGAAAAATACTTTTACTCACTTCGATAACCCGACTCAGGACTGTAATTTCAAACATAAAAAGTAAAATAACATTTGCACTTTCGGGTTCCATAAACTATTT